TGCCAGGTGTCTCAATGAACACAAAGGGGGTGTGGATCTGATTTGGAAGGGATCTCATGCCATTCAATCTAAAGACATATATCTCTCTCTTAAGATGGCTGGCTGGGGAATTCTGGGAGTTGAAGTCCACCCCTCTTAAAGTTGCCAAGGTTGAGAAACACTGCTCTATAGATACCAATGCCAGGTTTCTCAATGAACACAAAGGGGGTGTGGATCTGATTTGGAAGGGATCTCATGCCATTCAATCTAAAGACATATATCTCTCTCTTAAGATGGCTGGCTGGGGAATTCTGGGAGTTGAAGTCCACCCCTCTTAAAGTTGCCAAGGTTGAGAAACACTGCTCTATAGATACCAATGCCAGGTTTCTCAATGAACACAAAGGGGGTGTGGATCTGATTTGGAAGGGATCTCATGCCATTCAATCTAAAGACATATATCTCTCTCTTAAGATGGCTGGCTGGGGAATTCTGGGAGTTGAAGTCCACCCATCTTAAAGTTGCCAAGGTTGAGAAACACTGGTCTAAACTATTCAGCTGTGGCTTTGCTAATATCATCTACGTGTATTCCAGTGGTGTGCTTACTTCAACTCTGCTTTCCCCCAGTATGACTCCTTAAAGAGGGTTAGCAAGGATGGGATGGTTTTCTAAGTCCTTTCTCTTTTGGTTTCATGTTTTTCGTTTGTTTTAGGCAACCTATACAACCACATATACCATTTTCAAAGAAGAGATCCTCCTTAAAAGAATGAAGCCATGGCTTTATGAGCATTTCCTTGTTTGATGGTGATGGCCTTTGAAGGGCCATCCCTTTGTGATGATTTCTTGTCATTTTTGGTGCTTTATCACTTCATAATGAGGAAATCCTTTCAACCCTTCATCGCATGGTGTGCAACATGGCAGTACATGCTTCAGAAATGATTAGGAAGAAGAGGTGCTTCAGGAGATGACCACATCTGGACACGTGGACAGATGTGACTGCTTTAACAGCCACTTTTTAAATCCCACTCTAATCCAA